AAAGTGTAATTGTCAACCATGTAGTTAAATAACTCAGTACTGCTATGAAATTACCAAGGAAGTTGCACAATTCTGGTGGAAGTTGACAAGCCGTGTGGCTGATGAACAAAAGTGCAGCCGCTTTCCTGCTCTTTAAGAGTATCATTCCGTAGCTGAGGTTAGGGATCTTTATTTCTGTAGTACCCAGCGTGCAAGATCATTATAGTGTGAATATAAAATAATCATTTTGAGTTATTTGAAATATGTGTTTCTAGAAGGATTTTTTTTTGTATGTGATGATCTATCCAGTCTTGGTGCCATACAAATGTCAGTGACACATTTTCCCAAGAAAGCTTACAACTGCTCCTAAAAATGAAGGTGTAAGATGGGCACACTGCTTAAAATTAGAATGCAAGTTGGTATCTGAGCAGCAGAGGAAAATCTTGATGATTTCCACAGTGGAAAAGTTCAGGAATGTCTCTTCAAGACTGTAATGTTGTGGCAACTTGTTTTTTTACCCCATTAATCAGAATGATAAAGTGACAGCAGGAGCTATTCCACTTGCATCCGGAATGTCTTCCCGATGTACACTTATGATTGATGCTGTTCATTTTAGAGAAGTCTGTGAGAGAGCGACATCAAGCAGACACAGACTATTGCGATTGGAAAGAAAGATTCTACCATAAATTCTAACCCAGTGAAGAGAGAGTTGTTTGCCTGCTCAGAGGTTTTTCCTTAGTATGCTGGATCCAAATAGTCATCTTGCCAGGAGTCAGGACATCTTTCAACGCAGTTTTATGCAAAACTGTGAAACAAAGGTCCCTTCTGTGGTTAGAAATCTCTCTGCTCTTCCCGTAATTCAGAGAAGGTGAAACACTGTTTTGAAAGGAGCTTGTAAGACAAATCACAGAAGTTTAAGATACGATTTTTGTTGCTGCTGCTTTCTACAGGCAGTATGGTGTGATTAGAGTAAAAGTTTTGTTTGACAAAAGTTAGGTGGGAGTTTGCTGCGTACACCTGCAATTTCCAGTCTACCAAACCTGAAGATAGTTATAGACGAGGTAAGAGTCACAAATTTTAAAGTCCACATGAAACACTCAAAATCCCTCCTTCCCTCTCCTTTTTTTATGACATCCTTTGTCATTAGGGTGTTGTAAAAAAGTTAACAATAAACCTACGAGTGTCCTTATGAATCTTCTGCCAAGTCATAGTTTGTCTGTCTGGGTAAGAGCCACCCTGACTGGTGCATATCCATGTGGGGACCTTCTGAACATAAGAGTAGCCGTAATATGTCAAGGCCAGAGCTGGCTCTCAAAGTCAGCGTTAACTCTTTATTGCAAGAATGCCCTTCCCGTAGAAGATGAAATTAAATTATGATAATTCTAAATCACTGGATAGTGTTGTAAATTAGATGTATGAGACATCATATCTGTGATAAGATTGTTGTTTGTTGATTTTAATAGCCTTCAGGATGACAAGTTGAGAATGAGAGGAACACATCGATTAAGATTGTTATCAGATAGCATTGCATAGAGATTTTTGGTAGTAAAAAGCAAGAACAGGCACTACTAGTTCTTAAAGCAGTTTCTGCAGCTGTTATTGAACATGCAGATAATGCATGATATAAGATGATGCCTCAGTTTAAAGTTGCCCATAAAATGGGCAAGCCATGATTTGAATTTGAAAATGGAGCTTTCTTCTGAGGCTACGGCAGTGTTACCATCTAAGAGCTGCTGAAAACTCTTTAGCAGGATAGGAATGGAAACAGATGGTGCTTGGAGCCAGCATCCCATGTTGCCTGTGGACAATTTGTTGAAAGCAGTTTTCTGATCTCAATAGAAGCAGCTCAGCAGCCTGAAGCTCCAGCAATTCCTCGGAGCTCCTTTTGCTTGATGCAGGTGAACAGGGGACAGCAGGTCCAAGGCAGCTGACCTTGAACAGAGATCACCAAATCAGCTGGTGGTAACAAAGCAGTGGGAAAGTACCTAAGGCTCAGTGAAAATAGTATCAAACTGCTGTATGTACATTTTTTAAATCTAAAAAATGCATTCCCCGGGCAACACATTTTCAAAAAGACCACAGGCAAAAATACCTGCTTTGGTATAAATCATAGGTACACAGGTCAACAGTGATTGCCATCCTGTGTACAGTGATCTTCCCTGAAATGCACAGCACCTGCTTTGACTCAGTTACAGCTGCCATAAAACTTGAAAATAATGTGAGCATCTCACATGAGGGTCTACTTTACTTAATAGAAGTGGAGCTGTACTCTTTTTAATTACACTAGCAAGTGAGTGTGATTGGCTTGGTAACTGTGAATGGGAGTCTGAGAAGGTAACTGCCCTCAAGGGATTCTTGTTAGTGAGTCTCTTGCCAGGTATTACAAGACTTGGGAGGAGGGGTTAATTGATAGCTCAATTAAATACCTTTTCTTAATATTAAGTGATTGGTTTGATATACTTTGCAGGCGCAGTATGCAGTACTGCTAACTGTGATAGCTAGTTTCCAGTTTTCTAGTGCTATATGAACAGCACATTAATTTTAAACATCAGTCGCTTTACTGCCGTCATTCACTTGATTTTTTTTTTTGAGGGCTAATAATCCTGCATAATGATTAGTTCATATAGCACAAGGTTATTTTTTAGGTACTGAGTTTCTGTAATTAGCATACAAGCTTGTAACACCAGATTAGTATTTTTAACTATTAGATCTGTAACATTAAGGAATGTTACCCCTTTCTGAAAGGCGGGGGTATAAGTTGTCTGAAGATTTGGGATGACACTGGTTTTCTTCACTTCTGTCGTTTATCTTGCAACAATAAGCTTGAAATGTTTTGGCTTTCTTCTCTAGTGAAGTTATTTGGCAAATTCAGGTCTAATAACCCTAGAAATACAAAATGCACAGTCCCAGCCAGCTTGAATCACAATCGCTTTGCTTTTAATTTTAAGCAGTGAACAAGACTCCAGGGTTGATGTATCTTTATTGAGAACATTCCTATTAATAATGCCATAATATGAGTAAAGCATTGTCTTGGAAGTCTGCCAGTGTTGTTTTAAAAGTAGCATGCAGACCAGAATGGATGTAGCTTAATTGTAGTGAGGTTAAAGGATCCTGCAGTGGTCCAAAGACTTAGCGTTTGCTCCAGTTTCTTCTGGAGTTTAGATCTTTTAATAGACCGACTGTTCTGCAGTCCATTTCAAACTTCTTTCAGGTTTTCTGAGTTATTAATTCAGTTTGTAAAACTAAATTTAGTAACCAAACTAAGGCAATTTTTAGAATAAACAGTACTGAAGTATTCTGCTCATGTCAATAGTGGCATAATATTTATCCACATTTTCATTAGTGTTTATGATGTGCAGAAGCCAGTTATTTTGTAATAGGGGCAGATATGAAAAGAATATAATCCCTTCTGGATCAGTCCAAGCTGTAAATTCAGTAGTAGAAGCCTTTCTGAAACGGAATAATAGATCCTAATTATTTGAATGTCCAAACACTTACAAGATTTGACCCATTTTGTTGGTGGTGGCATTTTGCACTTTGGAGATGCTTTAGGGATCTTCAGGTTGGGAATGTTAGAGGTCCTCATTTTGAGTGTAGATAATTCCGAAGATGGGGCTTCCAGAAGCTTGCATTATTGCTTCCCTAAATACACTGAGTTCCCCAGATGTTTTTCTTAGAGATGTGCTGTGCTGTCATATCTGACAGTACGAGCTGTGTCCTCACTGTGGTACACAGGATGCTTGCTAGGTGTAAAAGTAGATACTGTTTCTGGAGCAAAGTAGCAAAGTGTTTACTATGGTAAAATATAATATACACGACTCTAAGTTATGATAATACTAAATATGTAGTAATTCCTGGAAATCCATATAATTTATGAGTATATAGCACCTGCTGCTGTTTACTACAGATGAGACCATTTGTCTTGATTTTTGTGTTTTAAATCCTGATAATGGTGAGAATGTGATGCCTCGCCTGTAATACAGTAGAATGATCTCTTAATGCCGGCAGTAAATCTGTACTTGCCTTAATACTGTGAGATATGTAAGTTTTCCTGTGTGTTCAAGCTGGTTTATGTATGAGGTTTTACTGTAATAAAATTGTGCTGTTTGGTTGTGCGCCACAAAATAAATTGCAGCAAAGATCTCTTTAAAATCCTCTGCTCCTCAGCTTTGGAAAGGAAGAAACAGCATCACCTGTTCATGTAAGAAATCAGTATTTGTTTCATAATAAAAAGCTTTTAAAATAAACTTTGAGGGAAATTACTGTTGTCAACTTCAAAAGCTTTCAGTTAAAATTCTTATGAATTAGCTATGGGGGAAGGTGCTCTTACTACTCTGTTACTCTGCAGCAAGGTGCATTACTGCCGAAGATGTGTATTTTGCAGGAAAACTGCATACTGTTTGCTCTGCGTGTCTTAGCACAGCACAGAACAGGTATGACTGCTTGTTTGGTGCAGAGCTGAAGACAAACATTCCGGCTGTGGGATGAATGCATTCTTTCTTGTTCTGCAGTCTGTGTGCGCTTGTTGCAACAAGCAGACATACAAACAGTTTTGCAGCCTGTGAGTATGCAACCTGAAATGCATAAATTTGCTTATGAATTTAAAAAAAAAAAATCTAGCATTTTAAAAATTAAATTCTTGCATTTAAAAGAAACAAATGAGGAAAAAAAAAACAAACACAAACCAAAAAGAACCAAAACCAAACCAAAGCAGAAAAAAAAAACAAACCAACTCTGAAACCCAAACAAAACAGAGGTGGACCATTATTTAAAAGAATTTTAGATGATGAGCTTGTTATCACTTTATGAGATTGCTGGTTTCTTCCCTACCTTAAGGAACTTGTTGGTTTGACAACAGGAAGGACATGCATGTGCTGTGTATTTGTTAATCTGGCTAATCAGAGAAGGGAAGCTTATCTTCATCCAATGTGTAAGAGAAACAAAAGAGTATTTAAATGACAGGAAGTGCAGGACTTTAAATTTAATGTGGCTCCCATTCTTTGTCTTGTTTTGTTTTGCAGTCCACTCCTTTACACCTAGCAGCAGGCTACAACAGAGTTCGAATAGTCCAACTTCTGCTTCAGCATGGTGCAGATGTTCACGCAAAGGACAAAGGGTATGTAAAATTAATTGATTTATTACCTGTTTGCAGCAGTGGTTTTGTTTTACACAAGATGAGAAATTATTTCTCTGTTTCATGTTGCAGCATAATCTCAAATAGTTGGATGAGAATGCAACTTTTTTTTCCAAAATCTGAATGTGGTTCATCACAAATAAACTTGTTAGAGCCTCAGCAACAGATTAGCTGTGATTACACTTGTTTTAAGTCTTCTATTACACCTTTGATTTTTTTTTTCCCAAAACATATTATTTGCTTCCATGCACAGTCTAAACTATTACGTCATTGTCTTCTAGCATTATTTTAGGGGAGGCGATGGGGAGAAGGTATGTGGGCTTAGTGAAAAAAATGTACATTAAAAAATTTCTCTGTAGACTCATCTGTTGCATGTGTAAGGATCTAATTCCAAGTAATATCAGTAACATCATGTGCTTGCAACTAGCAGTCTTTGGAGACCTATCTTGATTCATGTTGCCAGAAAAAATCAATATATAGTAGAAGGTAAACTATTCTATTTTTGCAGTAAGGATGATAGTCACATAAGATACCAAAAAAAAGTGCATAGCAATTAGAAATCTGGAATGAAACGTGTTGTATGTTGTTCTCAGCCATATGTTTCTGAACTCTAAGGTGATGATTCTCATGGTGGTCTGATAGGAAGGCTTAGTCCTAACATTGTAGAAATGGGGCTCCTGGTTAAAGGCATGCCTTTTGTATGCAGAGTCCGTAGAGGTAAGATATAAACGAGTGTGTGTTCTGTCTCCATCAGCAAACTTGAGGCACTTCCTATATCTTCATCTTCTGCTGAGTCCAGACTATTGTTAAAAGAGTTTTTAAATTAAGATCTTTGCTTTTCTCCTTTTTCTATTTTTTCCCCCAAAGCCAGTCTCAAGCTTACTTTTAAACTCTTGAAGATTGACTAATTGTAGGGCTTTTGTCTGTACTTTCACCCTTAATGGCAGAATTGTTGTGAAATGCACAAAGACACATTGTAAAAGTCAAAAAACCCCAGAGTAAAGCTGCATGCAATGCCAATTCAGGTAGATCTAGCATTGGTAAGCAAGTTTTAGACATTTGACACCTTTCCAAAACCTGAACACCACTTCGTAGAAAACTTCAGCCTAGATGCTTTGAAGTTTGAATGATCTACTTGGAAAATATGAAAAGCATGAAAAGTAATTGAGCTGAACTTGAGGGGGGGGAGGGGATGAGAAAACAAAAAAAAAAAAGAAAAGAAAAATTATACACTTACTTTGTATTAAACTTTACAATAATTCAAACATACTTAAAGTGTCTCTCAGCCCAGTAAGCTCTCTTGGTTTTTTATCAGCATCACATGTTTACAATCAGTGTGATCTTTTGTTTTTTCTTGTTGTTTATTATTTATTTATAATTTATAAGCAAATAGGCTGTAAATAAATGTAATTTGTCATTTATGGAACTAAATTAGGTTACACTGACTTTATAGACCTGCTAGATTCTCTTCAATGCGGTCACTTTGGAGAGAGTCTTGAGGAACAGTGATGCATCTTCAAAATGGTCGTCACTTCTTGTTACTCCTGAAGAGGACCACAGCCAAGGAAGCAGCTCTTTTTCCACTGGTCCTTTCTTTGCCTTACTGCTGTTGTGTACAAAATCACCATGTGCTGCAAAAGAAAAGGGGAGGACATGCTGCAGAAGTGGATTGCTGCAGTGACTCGTTGCTGATGAGAGCTTGAAGGCTTCAGTCCTCTTAGATGACCATCATTTTGGAAGAGGGCAGATTTTTTGAGTGCTTTGTGGGCTGGATACTCCGTCTCACACATGCACCCATAAGTTGTAATTAAGAAAAGCAACAATGAAAAATAAGAGAAAAATTTTGCCAAAACAAATTTCACTCTCCTGTGACACATGTAATGCTGCTTCTGAGAGCATCTACCTTAAAATTAAATTTACCCTGTTGTCTAGTACTTGCTGTCCCAATGCCCTTTGAGTTGATTTTGCAATTCTGGGAAATATCCCCTGTATTTTTCATAAATGGTGAAGGGTTAATTATTGTTTTCAGTGTATTATGCATCCTGATTTGGTGAGAAATAACTAGCCTGTCTTACATGGCTTGAATTAAACTCATTTTTTCCTCTGTAACAATTGTCCTCTTTGCATCTCCCTTTCAGTGCATGACATTTATTACATCTTGTGCTTATGACTAGATCCTTGTTATTTACTTTGCTAGTGTAAATTTTAAGTATGGTCTCCAGTAATATAGCTGTACAAAATTACAGGGACTCTCTTAGAGGTATCTTGCACAGTTAAATAGGTTGTAATGTAAAAAATGGAGTAAAATCAGGTCATTCCACAGTCTGGAGCAGCAATTTCAGTCTGCTTTCTATGGGTATTTGTACATCTTCATAATATACCCAGGAGTTATGTGAGCGTTATCTGGGGAGTTTTGCCTTTCACATAGCATTTGGATAAACAGGAGTTCATATTTAGGCAGAAATAGAACGCTGACTTCTCTTGAGCAAATGGAATTTGGAATGGGACTTCCCCCCTGCCCCAGCTTAATAGCTTCATGATCATTTCAGAGCCAATTAATGTGAATCTTAGTGGTAGATTAAACCTCTGTGGCCTCTTAGGACCAATAAAAAAAAAAATATTTAATGCAAATCTTGAGTGACATGTTGTTTGGGAAAGTTAGATTTTTCCATTAGTTTGTGAATCTTAATTTTTAAATATTTGAATATTTAAGTATTTTAGATTTAATTTTATTTCTGTGCATCTCTCAGTAGAGAGAAAATTGTTCCTCCCTCTTTAAAAATGCTGCTTTAAATAAATTTGTCATTTGCCTTCTTCCATACAGTGGTCTTGTGCCTCTTCATAATGCGTGTTCCTACGGACACTACGAGGTTACAGAGCTGCTGCTTAAGGTAAGCAGAAGGGTGGAAAGTAATTGCTGCAGATTTAGATGTGTTAGGTGAGATATGAAGTGTTTATACCAGAGTTGAAAAGGAAGATTTATTTTTTTTTTCTGTAGTATCAGGTTTCAAACATTCTGTATGTCATTTCAGAAGCCTGCAGCTTTAGGCTTTGCTGTGGTACAGTGTATGTGGGTTTTTTTCTCCAGATAATTTCTTTGGACAGATAGTAGAGTTATATTTATTTGTATTTTTCTGTGGAAAAATCTGTTCTACTTAAAAACTAGCTCATACAGAAATTCCTTTTTTTTTGAGGGTTCAACAGTATTTTTGTTTATACAGGTATTTCTAGAATTATTTTCTTGTGTATGTGTTCATATGTGAAAAAAAGGAGCCATTTTTTATAATGAAATGAAAATCTGTAAGCTTTTAGTTGTTGAAGGTGATTTCTTACTAACATAAGGCTTTCTTTGCTGTGCTAGCATGGTGCCTGTGTGAATGCGATGGACCTCTGGCAATTTACCCCCTTGCACGAGGCTGCTTCCAAGAACCGCGTAGAGGTCTGCTCCCTCCTGCTGAGCCACGGTGCAGATCCCACCTTAGTCAACTGCCACGGCAAGAGCGCGGTGGATATGGCTCCAACGCCTGAGCTAAGGGAGAGACTGACTTGTGAGTGTTTTCAGACTGGAAACGGTTGTCGGTGGGTGTAAAGGGGTGCTTTCCTTTCAAGCCAGCTTCCTCATACTTCACAAGCAGACGCAAAGCAGCAGGGTAACTGCAGCTGTACCTCTCACTTTGAAGTACACAGTTACCTCTAATATGCTGTTCGTGATACTGTCTGGTTTTCTTAGATTTGAAATATTTAAGGCACTGCTGAATCAGGGACCATGGGAGTTTTTTATGCTTAAGTCCAGTTAAGTCACATAGGAGCCTCTTTATCAAGGCTCTGTATCACACTTAAAGAGTAACTTCCAGGAGGTACGTAGCTTTGGTGTGCAAACCTGAAGAGATGGAAACTCCAGCACCTTCTTTTGTAGTCTTTGCAGTCCTTATGCTGTTTACAAATAATGTTTCAGCTCTAATTTGAATTTGTCTGCCTTTATTTGCCCTTTTTTGTGGATTTGTTTTCTCATTGTTTTAACTATAAAAGGTAATTAAATGAGAGAAATATGGAAACAAAGCATTATGAAGTTACTGAAAACTCCTTGAGAAGTAGATTCTGAACTCAATTATAAATGCACTTTTGGTTTTGTCTGTCAGCAGAAGCCCCCTGGCACACCGGGGATGTGATCCTGCACTACTCACAGTCTCAGCTAGTCTGGTTATCATCTGGCACTATTCTTTGCCTGCGAAGGTGTTGAGATCATGTGCAGCAGAAAACTTTGCTCTAGGAGAAAAGAAGAGGGCGTTAATATCTTTTAGCTACTTCTCTACTCTTTGTTCTGGGATAACTTGGGAGGTGCTTCTGGCTTTGAGACAGGTTAATTTACCATTTGTTGAAATTAGCAAGCAAAAAAAAATCTATTTAAACTTTGTGTTATTTCTGTAGTTGTAGTTCATGGAGACAAGTGGGGAAAATTCATGTCCGTTAATGTCCCCTGAAATGTGTACACAAATGTGAGCATTATGCCAAATTTGACAGTATCTTGATGGGAAATCCTGTATTTGCATACCCAAAATAACCTGCTTAGTATATTCTTGAGTTCTTTGGTTTTATACTTCAGGAATGATATTACATTTATTTGTTACTTCAAGATTTATTTTTACTTGTGCTTTGTGTAATGCTTTGTTTACAAACAAATTTTAATTCTATTTTAAATGAAAGCTTAAAAGTTGTTATTTATTTTTATTTCTAAAACCACAAACGCACCTGATGTTAAAATAGGGGTGGGAGAAGAAAACCCCTTTTAACAAGCTTAGCATTTGAAGCTTCCTTATGAAAGAAAAATACTGATATTTTTGCTGAGGTTGTTGACTTTTTTTTTCCTAGTTTCCAAGTTCAGACATCATTCTTGCTAACCTACCTCTCATTTGTATGTTTTAAGAGAAGCACTTAGTCCTTTTTCAAATTCAAAATTAGTTAAAACCATAATGAACTAGTTGCTGCACAAGGTGTTACACTGAAAAAAACAAAATTACATCTCCATGCTTGTAAATAAAGCTTCTATCAAAACCTGTTTCAACTTTATAGCAGAGTGGCTTCAAATGCTTAGCCTGTTAGTTTTCTTTAAGACCAGTAATTTAATATTTTATATTTAAATTATATGTTCAGGCTTCACCTTGAATTATTTGTAGTGGTAAATCCAATAAGGTTTTGGAAAATCGACTGTGATGCTTTTCTCTGAAGAGCATGTAATAGCATTGTGCTCACTTGGACACATGCATAGGTAATCTAGAGCTCACATGCCTTTAATATCAAGTGGGTGGAGGATAAGAGGGAGAAATGCTATAAGGATTTTACTCAACTAGTTGCTTCCCCTCTCATTTAGAATGTCCATTTGGTTTCAGTAAACCATATTTCGTGTTTTGTGTCCCAGGCCAGTCACTGTCTGAAGATGTACAAAAATACTCTTTATTTCCTCCTAATTTGAGTGTAGCTGCCTTTCTCCAGTAACATTTATAAATGTGAGATGTTGCTGAATATCGAATGCATCTTTTTCCTTTAACAGATGAATTCAAAGGACACTCATTACTGCAAGCAGCCAGAGAGGCAGACCTAGCCAAAGTGAAAAAGACACTTGCTTTGGAAATCATTAATTTTAAACAGCCTCAGTCTCATGAGACTGCACTGGTGAGATTATGCGGTCAATCCATTTGTTTTGTGATAAATGTGGTGGTAGTGCTAGTTGAGGGGTTTTATTTCTACGCTATGAAAAGGTATTAATCATCTAAGATTGAGGATTTGCCATCAAACACTTTATGTCTAAAAATTAGCTATGGAAACAGGGGTCTTGGAGACTTCCCTGGCAGTATCCTGCTCTTATTTCATTGTTTGAAGAAGCAGTGGAGGGAAAGAACACAAGTCAGTATCCCAGATGCAGTGAAGATAAGTTGAGAGGGACTGATGCTATTATTAAAACCATTATAGTTACGATATTTTATTCCAATGGAACACTTTCTTCACAGTGTTAGGTCTCAGCTGCAGGCGTATAGCTGCATATTTATTGTTATAAACATTGTGATTGTGATCAGAACACTGTGTGTTCAGTACCAAGCATCCCTATGCTCTATTTTCTCCGTGGAGGATTCGGCATCCTAGTCTTTGCAAAACATGGACGTGCTCTGCTGACTAACAGCAGTGTGGAAGCTTGAGTGGCAGTTACTTCATAGTGAAGGCTGAAACTGGGCAAAAGATGGTTATCAGTGCTGTTGCTACTGTCTGGGGCCTGTCTCATCATAAAAGCTATTGTTTCGCTGTTGGAAAGGTTGAGAACTCTGTTCCGGGAGACTTACCTGCATTTTATGGGTTACTGGTTTAAAACATGGGTAAACATATAAACAAAAATATTGAAAAGTGTCTCCTATTTCTCACAGTCTGCTATCTTGAGACACCCAAACTTGAGACAAGCATTGCTGGACTGATTTTAAAGCATGGTGTTCGGCATATCTGGAACCGTGCTCGTAATTTCAGGCCTCAGGAATGCGTTGGTAGGGCCACTGTTGAAAATGTCAGGGCAGATTGAGTCTAGTCTCTGCAGAGGATCAAAGGAAAAAGAGGAGAACAAAGCACTCACTTTTAGGTGCCAGATGCACAGACAAACCAACAAGCAGACCCCAGCTACAGTCAGGAGAATAGTTACAGCTAGCAAAGGGCAGCATGGTGTTCCAACAAGGACAGGCTTGAGCGTTGAAAAAGCACTTGTGTGAAGGATGTCTTTTTCTTACAGCATGGAAAAGAAGATACTCTTAAGACAACTTTATTGCCCATTTGTTTACTACATAATTTGTAACTGGGTGCATAACAGAATTGCCAATAGGTTAATAAATTCAGTGTACACTGGAATAGAAGAAGAAACAAAGCAACATTCAAAAATTATGTTAATTAGGAATTGTAATGGACCCTTTGGAGTCCCTCTGTAGAAAGTCAGGCTCTTTCAAGCCCTTTATCTTTACCTCCTTTGTGCATTATATGCTGGTTTTGTCCTGGCATCTTGTTAATGTAGTTGGGAACATCCAGCTTTTTTCATAAATGACAAATAGCTTTAAAATTAAAATTGTTTTTCTGAGTAGAATAATTTAGCATTGATCACTAGCTTGTATTTTGTTCAGTATGTTATATGTTTCAGCAGAAATATGATGGATTCTGTTTGAAAATTTTGTTGTGTGATGTTCAGCAGAATAATTAAGAGATGAAGTAATGTATTTTAAAGCTCTTTGTCATCTGCATAGTTGAGATATAGTTTATATTTACTGTTTTGCAGCACTGTGCTGTGGCCGCTGTGCATCCCAAGCGGAAGCAAGTTACAGAACTATTGCTTAGGAAAGGAGCAAATGTTAATGAGAAAAACAAAGAGTAAGTTTCTGAAACTTTTGAATTTTCCAAACGACTCTCTCATGCTAGGAATATAAAACTAATATCTTCCTTTTGTTTTCTCCCCCCATAGTTTCATGACACCTTTGCATGTTGCAGCTGAAAAAGCTCATAATGATGTCATGGAAGTTCTGCATAAACATGGAGCAAAGGTAAATATACTTAAATGTATTTTATTTAAGGCAAAAGGCAAGAAGAAGGGTTGTAATGGTTAAATACAGTGGTTTTATGACAGTTGTTGCTTTTTCTTCTGTATGCCTTGTGCTTCTCATGTTAACTTTGAAGCCTGTTTATTTTAGATCAGTACATCAGGAATCCCATTTGAAAATTAGGTCTTCTCTCCAAGTAACTGAATACAAGCTTTAGGAGTCTAGCTTACTCGTTTTTAATGAACTTTGCTACTCATTTCTAATAAATGTAGCCATCTAGGTGCCTCTTGTTGCTTTATCTTGTTGGCTAGAGAATGTCCAATGCCTGAGTTTGACACTGAGTTTGGTAGTCTAACGCTGGCCATCCCTTAGCCCTTGCTTGCTGCTTATTCTCTTGGTCAGATAGTTTTGCCATGGCCTTTGGCCATTGATGGGTGCTGAGCAAAGTAATTTGTGAGCCTATGGTGAGGCTGGCTTAGAAACACGTGGTTCAGCAAGTTATTAGTTAAAGGCAGAGAAAAGTATAACTTTATTTAGGATGTCTTTTAAGCATCTTTCTGAAATATTTCAGAATTGTCTTTCTGTGATTTTTAGCAGCAAACTTGACATTGATGATAATGACATACTTCGCTACTTAATTTTCTCAGAAACTCTTGATGGGTGCTTTCTTTGCCTTGGTTAAAACATACATGATGTTATTTTTGCTTTTAAGGGGGCTCACATTACTCTTTCGGACTCTTATTATCTTCATTCACATAGCTAGAAATGAAGAAATATACCTGTAATAACAATCTAGTGTGTCACTCTTGATGTGCAAGGAGGCATTAGCAATGTAATTGTATGCATAGTTAATACGAGGTCTTTTTATTTTGAAACAATGAATTGTAATTTATAAGCCTGTGTGAGAGCTCATTGCCAGATTTCAGTAGCTGGTTGACTTCCATAGTACTTTAATGGCATCATAAAACAGCTTAACAACAGTACCATGACAGAGTCTATCACATTTGAGAATCCTGATGCAGTGGTGACATACCAAGATTTTTCCAGGGGGACGGCAGGGCCAGAGGTCTCAGTTATAGTCGTTAAAACTATTCATCATTTTCCCAGATGCACTCTTAGTAAATATCTATGCATTGAAAGTTTAAAAAAAATAATTTTGCCATAGGAATAGACACCTTATGGCTTTATGGATCCGATTTTGCACATGAATTCTGTACTGGTGGTAGTTAGGTAGGGACTGAACTGGACATGCTGGGATTTCAAGTGTAGTGATACCAAGTACTACTTGCTTTGAAATACAAGGCATTTCTGTGCGCTGAAGGTTTCTGGAAAGCCTGCTAATATACTGTAGGTATTTAAATTAGTGCTCCTGTGAAAATCTAGCTCTGTATAGCCAGGTTAGGAACAAGGTCACAGGTGTCATCCTTACTGGAATGGCCCAATTTTATTTGTGTCAGTAGCACATTCTGACAATAGCTTGTAATTCTTCTATGTCCTGAAGCAGGGGTTCCGAAATCATGATCCATGAGTCACTTGTGGATTGAATGATGGTGATGAGTGGCCCACAGTTGTCTACAGAACCATGCTGAGTCCTGTGTTCTGTTGTTTTTTCAGTTGACAGTATGGAAATAGAGGTACATGGTGGTCACTAGAACTCATTCTGTGTTCATATCCTGGTATATGCGTGCTAAGTTATTCTGAGGATGGCCATCCACATTGATGATCTAGCAAAGCACTTAAGTGCATGGCAGGAGACGACTCATAGTTAAAATTAAACATCTATTTCCATACTGCGATGGATCAGGTCCCTCTTTATCGGTGTCCAAAGTTCCTTAGCTGTAAAACAGTACATAACGAAGTCATGGTTTTTCATGAAAGGTAGGTCATTAAGACTTATGTAGCACTTTGAAGTTCCCAGATGGAATGTGCTCTAGAGTATTAATTTGTTAACTGAGCATGTTTAAGTACTCTAAAATGTTTGTCTTGCTTGTATTTTATCATTTGACCTCTTGCTCATGCTTTGACTGTAGGCATTCAGTTCATCAGACAGCCTTAACACATTTCTTTGTTTCTGATTGTTGGGACATGGCAGCTTTAATCCCTGAAGCATCATACAGGTTTGGGGGTTTTTTCCATTTGTTGTGTTGCTAGAAGCTTTTTTCTTCCTATTTACTCTTTCTGTGCCTTGAATTTTTGTCATTTCATAAGATGTAGTCAGATATACTAAGCTCTTTGATCCTGCCTAGTCATTTTTACAAGAGAGGGTTCTCACGAGCTGGTGAATCTAGTCGCCCTGCAACAGCAGCCTCACAGTGAATATCCATTTGAGCAGCGCTCTCCTCCAGTTTAAATACCTCTTTTCCATTTTGGTGCTTCTTTTGCCAAGATATTTGCAGTGAACAAACTGATTCTTCTTAGCCTTTGTTTTGGTAAGCTGAAAGCCTCAAACACTTCCCTCATAAGGGAATATTGCCATTTCCTAGTCATCCTTAGAGCTTTTCTCTTGACTAGCAGCAGAGGAAATCTTGAAGCTTGGGCAACAAGAATGGAATTCATTCGCGCGCTGCCTTACATGATGGAATTTCCATATCTCTAATGTAAATGCTGGACTAGCACATACTGGGATCAATTTTGCCTTTTTAGTAGACGTGACACGGTAGTACCCACACCCTCCCTGTAGTCTTGTAGTACGCAGAGAATCTTGATTTTTTTTTTCCTTGCTCATTTTTCATATTTGTGCCCTTCAGCATTCTCCTGGGCCAACATCATTAATGAAAATATTAAAACAAAATTATTCCACAACCAGTCACTGAGCAGCCCTCCCCCTTTCACTATGCTCCCATGTGATCCCATGTCAAATGCTTACTGAAGTGTGGATGGGTGAGACCTACCTTATCTTCTTTACTTTGCAACCATTTCTTCCATCCAAGGAAAGGTACTGTGTAAGTCAGCTTTAATCTACCTTCTGGAAACCGCTACTGATTATAGAGAGAGTAACAATTTGAAAAAGATAAGTAACTGGGGCTTCAAAGAAAATGGAACTTTCTTCTTCTGAAATACAGTGCCAAAAGGCAGACAGCTCATCCACAAAAAAAAAAAAAAAAATCCAGTAATGGATTTAGGAGACAAGGTCATGTAAAATTTTGTAGATTGAAAATAATTTGTGATTCTTTTAGCAATAGAGAAGAAACTGCTGTTTTCATGAGGAGCAGCTGTGATCTGTGTCAGACAGCAAAAGTGAGATAACGTGAAGTATGTATCTTTGGGAAATGGACTAAAGTATGGTAAAGACTGCTTTAGGGAATTTGCTTGGAATGAATGAGAGATGGTTCATGGTCTTGGAACTGGATGTAATTATCCTTAATTTTATCACTGCGTAAATTTGCTGTTTGAAGTATATCAGACTGTAATAAAAAGTGACAGACTGCTTGGATAGCATGTGCTTGATCTAGACTGATTTTACAGAGATAATTTCTAAGAAGACTAGTATTGCCAAGAGTCAACCTATACCCACAGATTGCTTATTTTGGTGTGTCTTACTGGCCCTTACTGAGGACACAGGCTGGATTTGTAAGTTGAACTGTGAGGAAGTCCTTGGTGCACATCACTTGCACATCAATGTGGTGTGTCTAAGCAATGCCCATTCCACCGTCAGGGAAGATATTTTCATTACCTTCTTATTTGTAGTTGCAGAAGTTGACTGTCAAGTGCACATGTAAAGCACAGCTGAGAAACCTTGGGGTTTCTTAGAATTTTTTTCAATAATGTTGATAACAAATGTCTGTGGTTTTAAATGCCATACCCAGTTTTACTTGTTTGCCTGAACTGCACTGTGAAACGGCATTTCACACCATTGCTTATTTGATGTTGGATATCCTCAAAGTACCTTGAAAAATAAAAGCAGAGGATCTTTAAAGAATCCTCAAACATAAACTATTTTTTTATTAGACCCATGAGAAAATCTTCAAGTGCCGTGATTGCATTTTTGAAGATGGTGGAAATCCTTTGTTTAAAAAGAAAATAATTTGAAGGTGGTGAACTAAGGAAAAAGTGGCTTTCATCCTGTTTTGTTGGATTGCTAGATAGTTGGGTACCTCTTATAATCAGCTGCTTGTCTAAATGTACAGATACATGGGAAACTTAATATGTTCAGAAAGACATTTGGCTTTCTAGCAGTGCAGAAGAAAAGGATTAGTCTTTTCTGACCTAGAAAAATTGTTGGAAAGACAGACCTGCAAGTGTGCAAGTTCAGTGGTATTTGGGCAAGTGTGGAGATGTGAAGAATTCTATTTGTTCAACTGTGTTATGTTTCTAAAGGATAATGCTGAAACTATTCTTCTGCAAGAGAAAATGAGCCTTTCTAAGGTCGTGTTAGAAAGATAGTGTCCCTGCTCATGAGGGGCGCAGAAATAGCTTCATTCAGCTCTGCTAGAAGGACCTGCCTTTATGGATCTTTGCATAATACAATTGTTTCTGTGTGTTGGAGTAGCATGTTGCCAGCCTTTCATGATCATGGAGTTGACAACAGTTACCATCTATCTAGACTCACACAACAGACTTAAATGGTTTTGAATAAACTTCTTATGTAATACGTTTGCTTCCAGCATTTCAGGTAAAGGTATGATTTTCTCAGGAAAGAATAAGCATTGAAAAATTCAATTTCCTTTCTGAAATGCAGCTATGGTGGTTAACAACATGAAGAGCTATGTGATCACTTGTGATTGCATGGTTCAACTTGTCTCACTGCTTAGACATCCAAACAGTGACATTAAGCTTAGGCTTTTATGCAGAAGGACAACTGTGAAACATATGGCTGGATCATTTAGGAGCTTTCAGAGTGAAACTAGAACTTTTTTCTCTCTCTTTTTTTTTTTTTTCTTCTGACAGAGCTTGAAATTGCCACCAGCCTCTCTTCACTCTTATTTATTGTTAGTGATGCACAAAGACACAAGACATAGTGCAAGTTGTCTTCAGAATAAATGCAGTAGGAGAGCGGTTGGAAAGCTTGCATTGTGCAGGGAAGGATGCTCTGGTGCTAAAATGGCTGGCAGAGCACAATTTTCACATGTCATCTTTAGAATATACCTCTTTCAGAAAGATCTCTCAGAGAAAATTACAGTCCTTGGAAGCTGCTGCCTTTTGTGCTGCTGTAGTGAGTAGTAAGATATTTAGGACATTTGATACTAGCAGAAAGCTGATATGATGTCTTGCAAAAAAAGTTTCCTGAACAGGTCCCAGCTGTTGGGCTGCCACAAGTGCCCAGCAGCCAAGGGAATATTGCTGTGGCTGCATATGCTGCTCCAAGACAGCAGCAGTGCTGAGAGGAGAAATCTCTTCAGTGTCTGATCATACACAACTTGTTTTGATTTCTCTATTGCATATATCCAGGATGAGGAAGAGGAAATTAAAGGGATAAAAGAAAAGAACAGAAAGAATTCTGCAGTGGGAAATACTGTATAGGATGTTACTTTTCCCTGAAAAGCCTTACTTAAAACCACTTTTCATTTGATAACTGCATTCTGCTTTTATGTTGCAGTTTGAGTAGTGGAGTGACTGTTTTTATGCTAACAGGGGAGGAAAACAGATCCAGAGCTAGTGTGCTGTGGAATAAAAGCTGTCAAATCTGTCATTTTTAACTCCTTGCAGAAAACTTGTCTGTAAAGTAATTCAGAGCTGCAGCCTTCAAATTTCAGACTGCATTTAAAAGGACCAGTTGAATATTTCTGATTTTTTGTTATTACTGTAGCTGGAACAGTCTGCCTTCTCAGCACACAAATAAGGCAGTACACCTTGGATATTTTACATTTTGTTCAATAGAGCTTAAATTTTAGCTTTGAATTTGAAACAACATATATTCTTAGACCTTCTATTGGGTAGGCATATGTCTTACCAGGTTTGATTGTTATGAGAGTTTAATCTCATTTTGTATTTCAATTTGTAATGCTCAAATTTATTTTAATTTGGAAGTAAATCCTGTTGCCTTCAGCCTTAGTGCAGTACGTTCTTGGGTTGGTTTTAGACGAGTGCTGCGTGATTGACGAGAGCAGATTTGCCTCAGAGTGAAGGTACTCTCCATGAAATCGCCCTGCAAAACCGAATTCTGCTCCTGAAGGAAAGAACAGCTTCTTCTGGTGCATGCCTCCCTCCTTCAGCTGCAGTCCTCTTTGTCCCAGAAGTAAGCGGTCATTTCTTTAAATGACTGGTGTTCCTCTGGCACAAGAATCGATTGTTGGCAAAGATAATTGTTTGGAGGTGAAAAGACACCTGCACATGACATGTGAGATGGTGGATCTGATGACTCTGCCAGTGTTCTTTTCCAATGAATATTAATGTTTTTTCCAAGTACACAGTCAGTATCGAGTGGTGCAGTGTGAATGCCTTGCTGCTGTTCTTCAGCAATTTGTTTAGTACAGGAATGTTTAACACAGGAGTTCAGTGTTACAGAAGACATTAATTATGGTTCTCTTTCTTGGGTGAATGGAGTATTATCAGCTACTTCCAGAATCCACAAGTCTCATTTCATTCTGCCTTTATCATCACTAAACCTGTACAGCCCCAGACTTCTGCTTTTCTCTGTGCCCTCTTATCAGTGGTGAAAGGTATCCGGTGTCCTGAAACAGATGAGGATCATCATCTGGATGAAATGATGGATTTGGGACATTCAGCATCTAGTTAATATTTATGATAGTAGTAAGTTTTTATTTAAAACAAAACTTTTAGGGAAACCCCATTAGAGTGGCATGAGCTGAGCACGGTTAGAAGAATGCTGAACTGTTCTCCTGTACATCTTCCTGCAAAAGAGGTTTGTGATCTGAGAAACTCCTGCTTTACCAGCCTGTAGAATTGTTCAGGGATATAGAAGAATTTCAGACAGTATCGAATCCCACTCAGCTTTATTTATGTGGTAGTTCTTTGTTCTTTCCTGTTGCTTGATATTGTATTGCAGGTATTTTATTTTTTTTACCCTTTCTGGTAGTAGTTATTTTTTACATAGTTTTCCCCCTAATTAAATTTCATTTAGTTACAGAATATGCATCTTACCCAAAATATTTTTTCACTAGTTTTCATGGAGAGGTAGCAGGATTTGCAGGCTGCATTTTAGGTGAAAAATAACAAACAAAACCTTTATTCACTGCCACCACAAAAATGTTGAGAAGGTGGTTTTGTACAGTAACAGAGTTTATTATGGATGCAGTTCATAGCCTGTGATCCGTAGGCTTGGAAACAGATAACAGGTTGTGAGTTGCTTGCAGAGAATATAGAGTAGTTCTGTATTTTGTAAAGTGGTAAAAAAGGTGTTGGACATTTGCATTGAAATTTGTCATGAATCGCTGCTCGGTACAAAGTATCTTCTTGAAGAGTTATTTTCATGGGGAATTCTTTTCTGCTTTTTAGAGCTCTCTGTTATTCTCTTCCTTTTTCTGATAGTGAACCCATGGAGATGCTTCCAGTTATTTAGATACGGTGTTAGATCTTGACAGATGGATAGATTTCCATTATATCATACTCCTTGAAAGCAATACTCCCTTTTACCTGTTTATACAGTCTTGTATCGGGTAGAATTGTATCCAGTTATACTTAACATTTCTGTAAAAGTAGAAAAAGTGAGGAGGAAATGGACTGGTTTTTATCCAACTCCTTTCTCCACCCCACTCCCCTCCACCACCTCCTCCCCCCCAACTCCTTCGTAGAATTCCTGGTCGGACCTCTTTGTTTTGCTTTAATTCTTGGCAATGAGTAATGATAATTCCCCTTCTGAGGATGATGGGAGGTAGTTTCCTTAAAGCTGGAAGATCTTTGAATTATTTGGTTAATTATTTACCTCTTTCTCCTCTCCTCTCCTGTAAGAGTTTTGCTTTTCTTGCACAAGGTTGATCTTCACTGACTTTGTCAAAAGCTTGGATTTGGGGATCCTGTGTTGTCTGTTAGCCATGCAAGCAAATAACCTGCACTGTTAAAAGACAGGAAAGCATCTGTGGTAAATTATCTTTACATTGGAGTGTTTCTATTTTGTCATTTGGTTTTGTTTAGTTGCAGTGCAGAGGGATTGACTGATACATTTGTACCCTGGAAAATTCTTGTTATTGCCCTTCTTACTAAGGGCAGGGACAAGTGCAGGCTTTTAATTATAATAATATTTTCTATTGTTGCTGATTTTTTCAGATGAATGCACTGGACACACTTGGTCAAACAGCGTTGCACAGGGCTGCGTTAGCAGGTCACTTGCAAACCTGCCGGCTCTTGCTGAGTTATGGCTCTGATCCTTCCATCATCTCTTTACAAGGCTTCACAGCAGCACAGATGGGAAATGAAGCAGTGCAACAGATTCTAAGCGGTAGGTAAAAATAAAGGCTTGTGTATTTGAACTTCTCCTTCTCACTTTCCTTTACACCTGTGGGTCTCATTTCTTTTCCAGTGCAAGAGGCTTGCTGTAGTTTTCTCGTCCCTCCCTTCTGCCATCAGGTGCACACATCTACAATATGTACTGCGCAATACTTTTCAGAAGAAATCCACAACAGAAAAAAAAGAAAAAAAAGCCCATGTCAATTCAGTGATTTTGTGCAAATTGGGAAGAAAATAAACATCTTGTGGATTTAGAGCATGCTGCTGTACAGGGAGGTTGTAGGAAGGCAGATGTGGGGAGTTTGGTTTTTTGGTAACAAGTTCCAAGGCAGCTGGAATATTGCTGAACATATGGGAAACCTTTTTCTTCTCATCAGCCACCCTGTGAGGTACTTAAGTATGGAGTCACAGAGTGTTACTGGCAGATAAGTACTGATAGTTGCTAAACTATTTGAACTTTTACTTCAGGTCTCCTGCTTCTACAGCAGAGAGGTTTTATTGTGAAAGTACTTTGGATACAGTTTAGATGACACTGTGCTTAGGTAAATAGATGTTTGAAGAGGGTGCTAATATTTTTCACATAAGTGCTTGAGAGTTTACGTCCTCTTACCCATGTCACTTTTTAATTGTTGTAAGTAGGGAGAAGAGTAGTTGCATCAGTAGATACTATAGAACAGATTACTTAACTTACAGTGAGATATACGTATATAGTCAGAGAAAGATATCCAGATAGATGAGAAAACCTATGGTAGCTAGAAACTTCATTTCCTTCAGTGTTCTCAGCAGTGTTGCCTTAAAGTAGGAAAATAAGAGGCATTTTACAGCAGTGCAAGGAAGGATTGTTCTGAAGTATACCTACTCCTGCGACATCACTGGTTACATATAGCTGGTTACACAAGTGGCATTGCCTGTTTAAAGTACACACGTGACTCTGTGTATGTGTATTGAGAGAGGAGAAAGTTAGCTATGAATCAGAAGAAAGCAAACATATCCCCTGCTGTTAAAGAGAATAGGAGTTTGATCTAAAAAAATAGTAAGTTTACAAGAATTCTGAAAACACTTATATGGTTTTTAATTAAAAATTCATTTTCACTGATTTGCCTTTTCTAAGAAAACTAATTTCAGCTGTCATGCTGTACTGCTTTTCATTGGAGAGGTAGCAGCGGTGTTAAGGACTGAAAGATTCAAAAGCTGAAAAAATGCTTGTAATGTAGGGTTGTTGATGCTTTATGTTCTCTGTATTTTGAAGCTAGTAAATGAATGCTCAAATTGTTCATAAAATATTACTGTATGTTCATTTTTGTAAGATTGGGTTAAAGAATTTTTTTTTAAACGTTGGAGTTGTTTTGATAGAGATTGTTACCCGACTTGTGTGTTTACACCTTAATATATTTTCCGTATAGTGCTGGATTTTTTTTCTCGCAATTGATTGCTGAGCTACTTCCCAAATGTGAGTTAACTATGAAAACAGCTTTATGATGGCATAGTGGCCAGTGGATACAACTTTACGCTAGCTGCTTTTGATTTTGATTGCAATTGGTGGGAGTATGGCCACAGGATGTAAGAAAACTTGTCAAATGAGCTTGTTAATTTTTTCAAAGGCTTATTAGAAGATGCTGCTAGTTTTGCTTTTCTTGAAGAGTGAGATGAGTTTTGTTTCTTTGCTCAGTGCAGCCTTTTGGTACCCAATCTAGTGGAACTGAAATTCCTCTTTCCTGTGGTGATTAGATTATATTTCTGATTTATTTCCTTTTTTACCCTGACCGAGGTCAGAGTCTTTGCTATCTTGTGAAGACAAGGACAGGAGTCAGAGAAGAGATAAGCAGTTGTTAAGGAGCAGACCTTTGGATCCAGTACAGGACTTAGCCTCGTCTATTCTCTCCCTACCTCAGGATGCTGAGGTGGTGGTGCTGCTGTGGGGAGTGATGGAAGGAAAATAATTGAAGCTTAAGAAGGTGTGAGCTGAAGTCTTAACCCACTCTGACAACAGGAGTTTGATGCTTGCTATGCCCTGCCCTCAGTCTCTAAGTTAGTTTGTGTGAAACCCCTGCTGCCATCCTTCTCTTGCAGCATGTGTTTGAATCACTTAGAATCATAGAATCGTTTAGGTTGGAAAAGACCTTTGAGATCATTGAGTCCAACTGCTTGTGAATGGAACTGCTCCAGAGGATCGAGGTAGACTCGAGGAAAGGAGCTGGCAGCTTTGTCTGTATTAAAGGTGCCACTGTCCCTCTTCCCTGAGCTTTCTCAGGCTTTCCTTCAACTGAGGGCATTCCTTTATCCAACAGTTGAGCTTGTAGGAGTTGCTTCTTGCTTCCTCCTCCTCCTTCCTGCAGTGAGTACAGAGGCAAGGAGGTAGCAAAAGGCCACAAAACACTGATCAAGAAGAGAAAACAGGGCTGCAATTGGAAATACTACCTCAAAGTGAATTGATAAGTTGATGTCCTTATGTAAGAATGGCTAGTTAAGAAAACAAATATATCTTTCTACCCATTCTCCACTCCTGCCATATAGTCACAGATTACATTGCAAAGTCAGGAATTGCCTGGACTCTGCAGAGACTCTGTTAGTCTGTAAGAAGTACCTTCTCACATCATCTGCTCTTTCCTCTCAGGGCATAGTACCAGTTCTCTACATTTTAAGTATTGTTGATGGAGTTGCATGCCCATCTAGGATGAGGTTAGCCTAATGCAACACTCTGGCTTTCTTACAGCATTCTTACAGAGGATTGCAACCCCAAGTTCTCTTTGCCATGTTTGTTTTGCACTAGGCAGTCATTTCTGCCACCAATCAGGCAACATGCTGCCAAATTCCATAAATCCTTGAGCTTGAGTGGAGTGGCTTCTGCAATGGAAAGCAGTTTCTATTAAAAATTATCAAGTTGGTCTTTTCAGCTCCTTTGTGAGCAACACTGAAGAGCTCTAGGGACAGCAAATCCATTGCTCCTTTCCAGCCACTTCTTCCTCTTCCCTCAGCCCATGCTTGCTTTCTCACAGCCACATTTCTAATGAGAAGTAGGGTAAAAAAAGTTTTGATTGAGGCTAAAACCTGTCATTGTCTTACAGTCATTTAAAGGGGGGGAAAAACGGTTCTAAAGGTCTCCTTTTAATCACTATGTCATTCTTCTGATCCTATTTTTAACCACCACATGTTTATAACAAGGGAAGGATCTCATGGTTGCATACTGCACTTCATAGCAACCGCAGCATCATAAAGCAGGCGGTCGCCATGTAGCCAGAGCCATCTTAGAAATCCCATCGCCTTGTCACCGCTTCATCGTGCGAGACATGTCACCAGTGCAGAGGCTGTAATTCAGAGCACGTTTAACCCTGGCTGTGTTTTGGTACCTCATGCAGTTTGATGAAATTTTTACGAAAGGTGCTTTTGATCTTCATCAAAACTTTTAAATCTGTCCCAGTGAGCATGTAAGATTTCTTAAATGCGGAAATGGTCATTTTTACCATACATAGGATTAGTAAAGCGTTGAAATTCCATTTGGCAGAATAATGTCAGCTCTAGAGTCTGAACCTGAGTGGTTTACACTGAAACTAAGGCTCCTTATTCAGCTGTTCAGGCAATATGAATTTGAACATCACAAGTCCAGCTGCAGTTTGACAAATGACAACAGACTTCTCCCCCTGCCCAGTTTGGAAAGTAAGTTGAGCACAAGTTAATATAACTTGATGATCCTAAGTAATCCTAAACCATCTTTTTTTTCCCTGTGTAGAAAGTACACCTGTGCACACATCTGATGTGGATTATCGGTTGTTAGAAGCATCCAAAGCTGGAGACTTGGAAACTGTGAAGGTAGGTTTGAACAATTCACGTTAATTTTCCACTTCGTATTGCTGTGCAAGGCTTGTGGAAGCCTCTGCTACAAAAGTTGTGGAAGTAGTATCCAGTTGATGGTAAATCATAAAAAATAGGCAAATATCATAACTTTTTTCTAGAAGGTAGTGCATTAAGATGTGCTGTGGTGTTTCTCTTGAGTTTTTGGCTGTTCGTTCTCCCAGTCCTTCACACAGTCATGTCCTCGATGGACTCAGATGCAGTAATGAAGATGCAGCTGTAGTTCTTTAAAGTGGACCCTATGGTCCTGAGAAGCACAATTTAGTGGAAGCAAGCTTCAGGTGCGTGATTCAGAAGGCAAGCAAACAAAAATGGTAACACTAGCAGACTTCACCTTTTAAGCCATCCTTAATCTGAAGGTGAAAGGTCAGGCCCTGGCATCCGAGCATCACAGGAAGGGTTTGATCTTGTCTTTCATACTTGGTCTGTGGGCAAAATAGCCTGCAGATAGACCTTTCTGCATGTGTTCTCACCTTGGTACATATCAATATTCAAATATCAGCAGTTCTGTGCACCAGTGCCTCCTTTAACTGCCAAGCTCAATATTTCTGTGTTTCTGAAGACAACACAAGCTGGAAAGGGCAGTGTATCTGGACAAAGTTACATGGCTTTGAACCTGGTGCTTGATGATTTAGAGGCTCACTCTTTCTAATACATTAGGAATGTCTTCCTACTGCTTCCGTAATGTAAGTCTTGTTTGTTATAGAAGTACTTTCAGACATAAATTTAGAGCAGACATTTTTTTAACTTTGCCTAAGTGGAAAGACATTTCCTGAAACCTAACTTCTAAAATTGTGTATTTAATAATAAATGGATCAAATTTTGTGTTGAGAGGGTAGTTTGGGGTTTTTCTTTTGTTTGTGGGGTTTTTTTGTTTGTTTGATTCAGTGGTTTTTGTTTGGTTTGTGGGGTTTTTTTATTTGTTTGTTTTGGTCCTGATACTAGATTTTGGTTTCTTCTTTTGTCTTTGCAGCAACTTTGCAGCCCTCAGAATGTGAATTGCAGAGATTTGGAAGGCCGTCATTCAACGCCCCTGCACTTCGCTGCAGGATATAATCGCGTATCAGTGGTGGAGTATCTGTTGCACCATGGAGCAGATGTGCATGCCAAAGATAAAGGGTACATTTCATTCCATCATATGCTCTGCTGTTTTGTATTAATGTGGGACTTCTACTCACCTCTATTCATTTTGTTTCGTATTTCAGCAGCCGTCATGTTTTTCTCTTGAAATTTTTTCTCTTTTCTTTCTTCTTGTTCTGCATTGTTCCTGACATCGCTGTAGGGAGATTTATAGACCGTTAAGGCATACTTGGCTTTCTGTCAAAGCCATTGCCAAGTACATATCTGGCACTGCAATACATAAGACTTTGTACTTAAAAGCAGCCTTTAAGTTAGTTTAGGTGAACTAAAATTAGATTTGAATTGCATGGGGTGACATACCAGGGTTATCTTTGTTTGTTTTTCTAAATTTGTTATTTAGCTTGTATTATAAAGTTAGTTATTTATTCAGTTATATTCAGTTAAATGATGCTAACTGTTTGCAGGTTTTTGCAGTATTTGCAAAGCAATCATGTAGAATAGCGTGATTATGTTTGGTCTTTCACTCCAATATATTGATTCAGGGTGGGGGATAATTCATTTCCAATGCTAAAACATTTCCAATGTTGCATCTTCAGGCTCTCCCTGAAAGAAGTGTTTGATTATCTTCCTGTATATGTGTATATATATATATATAGTGCAGTGCTTACTAGTAACTGTGCTTCAAACCCGTTGTATAGTTGTGGGTGGTTGACTCTGGCTGGATGTCAGGTGCTCACCAAAGCCACTCAGCTGGACAGGGGAGAGAAAAATATTACAAAGAAGCTCATGGGTACAGATAAGGACAGAGAGAGATCACTCACCAGTTACCGTCATGGGCAAAACAGACTCAACTTGGGGAAAAAATTAATTTAATTTATTACTAATCAAATCACAGTAGGATAGTGAAACAATCTTTAAAACACCTTCCCCCAACCCCTTCCTTCTTCCCAGGTTTAGCTCACAACTTTCTCTACCTCCTCCACCCCAGCATCACAGGGAGACAGGGAATGGGGGTTGTGGTCAGTTCATCACACATTCTTTCTGCTGTTCCTTCCTGCTCAGGGGGAGGACTCCTCACACTCTTCCCCTGCTCCAGCGTGAGGTCCCTCCCATGGGTACAGTCCTCTACAAACTTCTCCAACATGAGTCCTTCCCACAGGCTGCAGTTCTTCAAACTGCTCCCGCATGGGTCCCCCTCCATGGGGTGCAGTCCTTCAGGCACAGACTGCTCCAGCGTGGGTCACCCACGTGGTCGCAAGTCCTGCCAGCAAACCTGCTCCAGCCTGGGCTCCTCTCTCCATGGGCCCACAGATCCTGCCAGGAGCCTGCTCCATTGTGGGCTTCCCATGGGGTCACAGCCTCCTTCCATCCAGCATTCACCTGCTCCTGTGTGGGGTCCTCCCCGGGCTGCAGGTGGATCTGCTCCCCCATCACCTCGATGGCTGCAGGGGCACAGCTGCCTCTCCATGGGCTGCACCACGGGCTGCAGGGGAATCTCTGCTCTGGCACCTGGAGCACCTCCTCCCCTCCTTCTGCACTGGCCTTGGTGTCTGCAGAGTTGTTTCTCTTGCATATTCTCACTCCTCCCTCTGGCTGCAATTGAGCAGTTGCACAGCAACTTTTTCCTCTTCTTAAATATGTTCTCCCAGATGTGCTGCCACTGTCACTGATGTGCTCAGCCTTGGCCAGTGGTAGGTCTGTCTTGGACCAGCTGACATTGGCTCTATCAGACATGGGGGAAGCTTCTAGCAGCTTCTCGTAGAAGCCCCCCTGTAGCTCCCCCACTGTCACCTTGCCGTGCAAACCCAATACAATAGTGTTATACCTTTTCTGAAATTTACACTCAGATATCCAAGGTCAGAACATCAGTGATCCTCGCAATTTAGTGTTGGGCTGTTGTTAACAGCGTTGAAGTTACTTGCTTGTGGAAGTAGTAACATTGGTGCTTGCTAAGTATTTAAAAGTCTCACAGATAAGAACTGAAGGAAGATAGTGAAGTTTTCATTGATGTTTTAACATCAGGGAAATAAAGCTATGAAAATTGGAAAGACTGAAAGGTATCAATAATGTCAGGTGGAAGTGGGAGTTTTATCTACTGGAACTTTGAATATTGGGGCTTTTTCTGTAGTTATTAATACTTTCTCTTTGATCAGTGGCTTAGTACCCCTGCACAATGCCTGTTCTTATGGACACTACGAAGTGGCTGAACTCTTAGTGAGGCACGGTGCTTCTGTCAACGTGGCAGACCTGTGGAAATTCACCCCTCTACATGAAGCAGCAGCAAAAGGAAAATATGAAATCTGCAAGCTGCTTTTAAAGGTATGTGATCTGGAGTTTTCAGGGTCTTTAAATGTGTATGTGTTTATTTCTGCTGAAGATTAATGAATGCAAAGTTAATTACATTCAGTGAGTTCTTCGTGGTGTCTTCAAATCTTATTTTCGTCCTATAATTGTCAGGTGTTTTTTTGTGTAATGTCAGTTCACTCACAAAGAATCATCAGTACAGTTACTTTTTCCAGTACATCTATTAATACTATTAGCCAAGTAGGGCAAGACTCCCAAACTGGAAAAAGCAGCTGAATTTGTGTAAGAATCCAAAAATCCCACCTTAGCTTATTCGTCCCTTTCTGGAACAGTTACTGCAGTTACGTAAACCTTTGTTGAGACAGAGCAATAACTGAAGGTGGGTCCTAAATGGTGTCTGGCATGTGTGAAATCTAAAACTTTTATGCTAATGTTTAATTTATCAAGCTCCTGGAGAAAATGCATATTAATATACTGTGGAACAAATATTCATTATAATTAATGAAAGAACCTGTAAAAAGCATGAGGTAATGCCAACGTGTTTCCAGTGAGAAACATGAGTTTGAGAGACTTCTTAACATAAGATCATATGCTGCCATGGGAGGGCAGACACTGGAGGTCTCTGGAGTTTTCTGACCATTCCCCTGGGAATGTAGCCATTTTTTGTGTTCGGAGAATCCTGAATGGATGTACAACAGGAGATAGAAACTGCTGAATTTTTTTTTTTTTTTTGACATCACTCTTGCACAAGAGCCAAATATGCCCTTAAGGTAACACACTTCTGTAAAGCTCTGGATGTCTCTGGATATGTGCTTGCAGGGCACTTTGCTTAGGGCTTTTCCTGCTGTGTCTTTTATGGCAGATGGCACTGCTGTCAGTTCTGCGGAGCTGTGGATGTTGAGTTTGACTCCTGACTTGCACTCTTTCTGTCTTGTTCTGCTTGAAGAAAGAAACAAAAATGTACAGGCATTTTGGAGAGACTTTCTTTTCCCATCACCTTTCTTTAAAATTACCGCCTTCATTTGTTTCTATGCCTTTGAAGGAGTCTCAGAAGACACTGCTTCTTCATTTAGATATTTATTCTGGAGACTATTTGAATAGTTCCAAGTTTCATGAGTTTTAAATTAAGGGACCTAAGGTTGTATCTTGGAGAAGTTGTTGCAGTTTACAAGGCTTTGTGCAAAGAATGGTCTCTTCCCAAAAGCACCACAGATGTGGTCTGTCCCTTGCTGTTTGCCCTTTATGCCGTGAGCATTGCTGTACTGCTTCCAAATACAAGGCAGTTAATTCTTTCTGCTCTCCCCATCCCCAGCTCATTCCCTGTGGCTCACACTAACATGGTTTTGCTGGCATCCCCACTGAGAAATGGCAGGGTAGACTTGCTGGCAGGGATTGGAACACTGTGTGTGGTTATTCTGAAGGAGCCAGCCAGTGAACGATAGTGCCAGCAGCTGCCGCTGCCTTATCTATCTTAGTTTTTTCCCCACTGCTGCTGAGAGTGAACAGGGAAGGAGCTGTCCTCCCACAAAATTGTATGTGGACATGACTCAAGCCACATGCTGTATGTAGGTGTCTGTTCCTCTCCTCGTCCTGTGTTCTTATCGCTGGCTGCTCTGCATATTTTACCAGCACAGATATACTCCAGCAGCCATCCGAATCCACTTTCTCTGCTGTCCCACCAAAATGTTTTCTTCACTGCTTTCCAGGACCTGTAAACTGCTTAAGATGGTGCAGTTATCTATTGGAAAGCACAGAAATGAGTATTGTTCTAGTTTCAGTCCGAAACAAGTGCCTTTCAATAGCAGGGTGGCATTTAGTGAAACTCAAGGCTTGGTTTCCCTACTTCAGAAGGGTGTGCTGAGGAAACACCTCTGCCAGCCAGTTTGCAGGAGAAGGGGAGGACTGGCCAGCAAGGTGTTTGCGGTTGGCTTTTCTTAAGCACCTGCTGTGACAGTCAGGTATAGCTATATGCAGTATATACCTGCTTCAGTTGCAAGTAGGGCAGTGGCAGCTCTCGCAGAGGACTGCCATTCCTGCCTGTAGAGTTGAGATTTGTACAGCTGTGTTGTAGACTAGTGCTTTAGGCCTCAGCCTCCTTGGTTAATTCTCATGTACCTACTAAACTGTACAGTCATTACTTTATGATGGCAGGTCGGCAAAATCCCCTGCCTCCTATCTTGTGCCACAAAATAGGGACTCACGTGCGCTGCTCTGCTCATGGTTGTGACAATAGTATTCCATGTTGCAGCATGGAGCTGATCCAACAAAAAAGAATCGAGATGGGAACACTCCTCTAGATTTGGTGAAAGAAGGAGACACTGATATCCAGGACTTACTGCGAGGAGACGCTGCCTTGCTAGATGCTGCCAAGAAAGGGTGCCTGGCACGAGTGCAGAAGCTATGTACTCAAGAAAATATCAATTGCAGAGACACCCAGGGAAGAAATTCAACACCGCTACATCTTGCAGGTGGGTGACTCACCAGGTTTTGAGAGTTTTTATATTGATGATAGGGCTACAGACGTTAATCACCATTGCTATGGCAGCTGTATTTCAGGAGGTAATACAGTACTGGGAAAAGAGGAGCTTTTGCAGTTGAAAAATTGCTTTAGCTTTTCTGTCTAATAATTCTTCCTTAGTTTAACTCTCCTAATATCCGATTTCTTTTCATGTGCCTTTTCTACAGCTGGTTACAACAATTTGGAAGTAGCTGAATACCTTCTTGAGCATGGTGCTGATGTTAACGCCCAGGACAAAGGAGGATTAATCCCCCTACATAATGCAGCATCCTATGGGGTAGGTGCAGGCGTTCTTGCCAACAAGGAACTCCTTAAGGTCTTATCCAAAGTCAGTTATTTTTCAGTTGTCTTGCTGTGAATATAGTTCAGGTTTTGATGGCATTAAATATTTGTTGGGCTAAGTTGCTGTTGTGAGTCCCATTTGCAGTCCTACAGATCTAAATAAGACACAGATTCAGGTGTGCTGTAGCACTTAAAGGCTGTGGTTTGGAAAGATCACTAGAACATAACTTTTATGCAGGTGAGCAGATACGCAGCATTAAACAGTGTTAAATTTGGGGTGACTGTTAAAACAGAAAAGACCTCAAATTGTTGCTGAAAGACTTGTACGGAAGGAAGAGAACAATACCAGGGGATTGTGTCTAGGTGATGACAGGGAAATGGAGGTCTCTTACAGCTGATCTCTGGTGGGGAGCTATTGCTAATGCTGAAGTGTGGAAAAGCTGCTGAGTTTATAGTATGGGTGTCCTCTTGGGCAAGCTGTCTGCAGAGGCTGATTCAAACCATTTTGGGTGAGACAGGCCCTCCTTCCTCCATATAGGAGGAAATATCTGTGTGTGTACCCGTTGCACAGATGCCTGATAGGTTGCTTATAAGCAGCTGCTAATTGTGGATGAGGTGAGAAAGAAATCTCTTGCACATAATTGTCCAGAGACAGTGCTTGGGAAGCTCCCAGCAGCATGCTTATGGTCAGACAGAGGACGTGAAGTTCAAGAAATAGTGATTTTGATAGGTTTCGTGATATGCTTTGTCTGTTACTACCTGGCCCTGGCACAAGAAGAGCAAAATCTGGGAGAGATGATCGTAGTAGAACAATGATTGCTTTCATTTGAGAGACAAATGAAATAAAAAGTACAGTGTTCACCTTGTTTTTAAGGAAAGCATATCAATGAAACTCAGCCTGCATAATTTGCTTTGGTTCTTTATGTCAGTCTGTGATCCCAGTGTCCTAAAGAGCAAAAAGCTCCAAATCCTGATGAAGATTTAGAAATGCAGCACAGAGTTCTTTTGTGATTCTGGGTCCTAATACCAAGCAATATTGTTCATCAGGATCTGCCATAAGCATTACATTTCCAGGACATTGCTTAGATCTAGAGATACATTCTGTTGCAAAGATTGTGTTCTTTCTTTTCAAGCATGGGTGACCAAAAGACACATTTTACGCAAAGGGAAAACGTTCCTTACTGGCACAGGGAAGTCTTAGAGATATGTTCAAGCCGATTATCCCTCCTAAAAATCATAATGCCAATCTAATCTGGTTGCCTTATTTTCTCTAGGAGAAGTTAACAAGGCAGTGTTTGGTGCTTTTGTATCAACTTATTTAGTGAAGCGGTGCTGTATACCTTTTCCTCGCAAAGTATCTTCAGTTCTCCCACCTAGCACTTTGTACTCCATGTCCCTCAGTAGGGTTTCATGTGTCAGAAAAGCCACAGGAGCAGCAATTGCTTTAAAAATTTGTCAGAGAGGAAAAATAAGATCAACAGTCATTTCAAACCACTGTTATTCAGGGACCAAGCCCTTTTATGAGAGCTGCTGAGAGTCACTTAATTGCCATTGAGAGGAAAAATGAAGTCCATTGCCAAGTCTTTGTGCTTCTGCTTACAATTTCAGTGTTTCACACTCCTACCTACTTGGTTTGACTACCTGCTCTTTTATTTCTTAGCTGTATTGCACAAGTAATTTTACTGGTCAGAGGCAGACAAAAACTTTATTTCAGTGTTCTGTTCTCTTATTTTAACTTGGGAGACTTCAAGGACAGGCTATTGATGGAAGTGGGGTTGTAAGATCATGTAAAACAGTTGTCCTTATGACACTCATAATGCGTTTTATCAGCTACTGTTCTCTCATAAAATATGATTGGAGAGAGAACAAATTTGTGCTGCCACAGATGGTTTCAAAGTCTTGCAGGAAATTGAAAGAAAGAAATAAAGTACAACAAAGGCTTCTGTGCACAGACATTTAAGTGGTGGCTCAGCAGTACAACACGTTGATCTTCAGAGCTCCTAGTATGGTACCAAAAATGTTGTAGTCTTGTAAATTTGTGTTGCCAGTTCAAATTTGTCTACAAATATTTTGTCAGCTAACTCTATTGGTTTTATGCTGGGTCAAGTATCATGTCTGCTCCTGCAGCTGGCACAAACTTCATGCTATGTACTTTGGGTGATTTGGCAGAAATATATTTTTGTGCCTGATCCCAATTATACATCTGCTGGTGGATGATCTGGTAGTGTAAAGGTACAGATTTAATGACCGTGGAGCTGCAGTGTGGAGTGGTACATGAAGTATGCTGATACATAGACACAGGAAGCAGAAAAGTGAGTTAAAGAAAGGAAAGAGAGATTACAGAGCACTCTAAGCACCATAACCTCCAGCACAAAAAAGGAAATACCTATTTTACCAGTGTCACGTTGATTAAGATGTTCTTGTGTTTTCCAGCATGTGGATATCGCAGCGCTGCTGATCAAATACAACACATGCGTAAATGCAACAGATAAATGGGCTTTCACACCACTGCATGAAGCTGCACAAAAAGGAAGGACACAACTCTGTGCTCTGCTGTTAGCTCATGGAGCAGATCCAACAATGAAGAATCAAGAGGGTCAGACACCACTGGACCTGGCAACAGTAAGTTCATGTTGGTGTGCTAACCACACACTGCTCTGGAGGATTTGTTCTGCATATGAAATGGCTTTCTGTGGCTCCAGGTGATCAGCGGTGCTGAGGCAGGGGGAGATGAGCATCTCCAGGGTTCCTGTTTGTGCAGGGTCCAGACTTTTTCCTTTGGCTGAGGTCTTAATGTGGCTTGTGATTTAAGGTTTGTTTCTGCTTAAGGATTTGCTCCTGGGACCAATCTTCTCATTGCCAGAAATAAACCCATCTGAAATGTCCCCAGTGATGGTCAGTCTGTGTACTGTTGGTGATTATTTCTTTGAAACTAGGAGGAAAATCAGATGGGCCTTTAGAAGAATGGGTTCATTTAGAGGCTGATTATGCTCAGTGCATGCGTATTACCTCAGGTTTTTTTTTTACTAACTCTAAAACAACATTCTAAGATGTGCAGGTGGCTATCAAACTTTTTCTAAAACTGGCACCTGAAACTTTTTTGTTAATGGTGGCAGTGGCAGCTGGTTAAAAAGCCTAATAAGGTTCCGCAAAAATGTGTATCCCAGGTTAACCAGCCTTGATGGAACAGATAATGCAACTAAATTGGACCCTGTGTCTGGTTCTGGTGTGAGTATCTCTTAAGGCCATTGATTGATTTGTGGAAAGTTCAAGAAATATCTTCCAGAATAATCTGAGCTTAGAAAACTTGCTTTGTGATGAAAGATACAAAAACTATTAGATTTCTCTGTGGAAAAATAAGGATGTCTTAATCATGTTCTCTGGGAACGTGCAAGGAGGAAATTCTTGAAAATGAGGGTCCTGCTTAATTTAGTCCAAAAGGCTAAATCCAATTGTTAGCTAAGTTCACACTTCTCTTGTAGCTCCTTTCTTTTTTTCTATTTTAACACTGTAAGGTGTGATTATGATGAAGGCAGTGGTAGAATCCTTCCATTGAAACCTTGATCCAGTACAAAATGCTTGACCAGAAGTTGAGCCTGACAGAAAAATTACAAGGCAGCATTGCCTAGCTTAGGTTGTGAAGGATTTCAGACAAAGTGGCAGCGTTGCTCTTCCTGGCTTTAACATCTCTAAAGTCATTCTGCCAGAAAGGAAATTAGATGTACCGTCTTACGTACCTGTACAAATGGGGAGAACCCGATCCACCTATGTCTGAGCAGCGAGTCAGGATGTTCTTACAACCCTGAATTCCCATGTTACGAAAGTTGGCAGTTTTCTTTTTAACAAGGGAACAGATCAATCAATTACATTCAAAGAACAGTTCTTTCCAGGGATTGGTGACTTGTGATAATAGAACCTCATGTTGAATGTTTTCCTGTTTTTTTTCAGGCTGACGATATCCGAGCTTTGCTGATAGATGCGATGCCTCCAGAAGCTTTGCCTACATGCTTTAAGCCTCAAGCTACTGTTGTCAGTGCCTCCCTGATCTCACCAGCATCTACACCGTCCTGCCTCTCCGCTGCCAGCAGTATAGATAACCTCACTGGGCCACTGGCAGAACTAGCCGTAGGAGGGTCATCGAATGCTGGTGATGGAGCAGCAGGGACTGAAAGGAAGGAAGGAGAAGGTGCATTTGCTGCTGGACAAGTTTGCATTGCCAGAAGTACAGTAGCTCAGTATAACAATAGGCCTTGCTTTATCTGAAAAGCATTTCTGACTAGCCAGAAAATATTGTACAGCTGGAACTGTTATCTGCATTGTAAAGTGTCTGCTGCTTGCTCTCTTCTCATGTGCTCCGCCAGGAGCACTGTTGGCTGTTCATCCATGTTTACTGTTGGTGATTAGGTGCCCAGATGTTCATTGTTGATTTTATACAGAAAATCTAATGGGAATTATCTTGATAGAAGGAATTACAGTTGTGATGGCTGGGAGATTTTGCTAAGGCTTTTAATTGATTAGTGTCTGGAATGCATGCTTTATGTCAGCATCTAGGTGATGACATAGCAAAAATACAACCACCTTTCCTTCCCTTCTCTTTACAATATGAGCCTGTATTTGCCACAGATCATTTGTGGTTTTTAAACGTTGATTCTGAGGAGGGGACAGTGATGAACTTTGCACTGACTTTTCACGCAGAATCAGAGTTCAGAATTTTGAGAATCAGTGGTATGATTCTGAGGAGGGGACAGTGATGAACTTTACACTGACTTTTCACGCAGTGGAAGTGGATTGTTTATTATACACATAGACAAATTGATTGTAAAAAGAAACAGAGTTCAGAATTTTGAGAATCAGTGGTATTGCTTGGGGTTTTTTTTAAAGTTTGTTGGGTGTTGTTTTTTTTTTTTTAATTCAGGTGCATAGGATATAATGACTTGTTTCTTCTCTTATAGTTTCTGGACTTGACATGAACATTACCCAGTTCCTTAAAAGCCTGGGTCTTGAACACCTTCGGGACATCTTTGAAACAGAACAGGTAAGTAACATTTCTACTTGTATGTTTAAAAGAGAGACTAATAAATTTGAGTGACATTTTAATTCCCTAATTGAAAAAGAGAAACAAAAAAACTCAACTTCACATCTACAGAAAACCAAGTATGTCCAAGAAAACTGCAAATGAGTCACCAGATATTTATGGTGAAGTTGAGAAACCTGTGAAATCTCTTTTGTTCTTTGATTCAGATATCCAGTCTTTCACTTTCTTATATGTACATGATGAGTGACAATTTGCCTTGTATTCTGAGAGTTACATCAGAC